ACCGACCTCTCTCTGCTGAACAAGGGCAGCAACGGCCGGTGACGCCTCCCAATCACACACTGTGGATCGATCTCCCTTTAACAACTGCGCACACGCAACACGCAATTGCCTGGAACGCAATCCCACCCCACTGAGAGCGTTCGATCCCTTGCGCTTGTCTGTACCGTGGCATGAATATTCCACAGATATCGAAACTGCTTTTGAACCAGGGCACCTGAGAGATGTAATTCGAGATGTGCAGGGGTCATCAGCACAGCCTGCACAGGATGGGGATAACTACAATGTCTGTCTAGTCTGATGGAGTAATTCAGCACCGGCTGCGGCTGGGCTGTGTTCTGTTCACGGGGCTAATTGCTTGCCATTCTTGTCTTTGTTTGCTTCTCTTGCCAGGCATATTCCTGCAGCTCGTCTCTGCCTTGAGGTGGCGGTTTTCTCCTGTTTAGAACCATCTCTCTGCACGAGTGATGATGAGTCTGCTGTGAAGCCTGTGATATGACGAAGAAATGACTTTGAGGCCTTGCCATTTTTTCCAAGCAGGTCCGAGAGGAATGTTCTTCCGGCAACAGACCATCGGGAGGAGGTAAAGTCAAAAATTCTGTGGCCACCGATAAGAAAGAGCAAACAGCTTGTTTACTACTACTACTAGTACAATAAAGAGTGTTCGGGCCAGTTGCGTGCTTAGACCGTCTTACGGACACTCAAACCTAAAATAGACAAATAAGAAATCTAAAATCAGTCTCCAACAGAATATATATATATGGGAGATCTATTTTAGGTTGTCTGAGAAGTACAACCCAAATATGAACATCCTCTCTCCTGGAAAACCCATTTGCAGAAATGATTCTTTTTTAGATCTTGTTGTTGAGGATAATACCGAATATGTATTGAATCTTTTACATGTAACGCTATTAAAAAAACGAACGTATATTTTGGATGTTGTCGCTGAAGATAGCCTTAGAAGCGCAGGCACCACGGGCCCTCGCATTTTGACTCCCTTTTCCACCGGCGGACGGCCTGGCCGAGCCGCTCGCTCGAGGTCGAGGGGCATCTACGACAGCCGGCCGTTTCACACTCGTCGTCGTCGCCACGAGGTGCCCGGATTTCGCATGCAGCGGCCTCGCGCGGGGGAAATCGACGACCGACGAGGTGGGCTTTATTTGCCTGGGCGATCGTACGGGGGGGGCCCCTACGACTACGAGACGACCGCAGGAGGGACGGAAAACGAACGGAGCCGGGCGTGTCCCACGGCACGGCAGGCACAGGCAGAGGCAGGGCAGCGGCTAGTGCGCGTGTGGGTGTCTCTGGTTGACGAGGAGGACCTCAGGACCCTCTGGGCTCTGGCGCTGATGCTGCAGCTGGTTGCTTGTGTGCCCACTGCCCACGCGTGTCCTCGTTTTCGCTAGCTGGAGCTGGAGTGGAAAGGGTGGCTGACGAAATGGCTCTGGCTCCACCTGCATCTGCATCCGCATCCGCATCCGCGGCGAAAGATGGGTTCCTGGCTATCCCTGACCACCCAATCCCTGTCCTGAACCTCTACTGCTACTGTCCTACTGTACATGTCACCAACTGACACGAAGAGGACTTGACTGACGATCGGACAGGTGATTCAGGTGTGGTAATACAGAAGTCTTCCGTAATCCGGAGATGAATTTATTAAGCCTAATTAATTCATTATTAGTACATGTTTACTGTAGCACCGTATTGTCATATCATTGACTAATTAGGCTTTAAAAATTCATCTCGTAAATTAGTCACAATCTTAGTTATTTTTTAGTCTATATTTAATACTCTATGCATGTGTTAAATATCCGATGCGATAAAAAGTAAATTTTGGGAGGATTAAACAAGGCCTCGGTACAGTCGGAGGCTAGCTTTTCCCTAACATGTGAGCCACGTTCGGTTTCCTGCACACTCCTGTAATAACAGAACAGACACAGCGCAGCATTCGGCACCAACCAAGTAGTATTCTAGAACTAGAATTTTTACTGCCTCACGTCACGCTGGCTTCAGCACGCAAGTGCCTGTAGTTTCTCCCTTGCGTTCCCGAGTACTTTTGACTTTCTCCACGGCCCACGGGAGACCAAGCCGAACGAACAAACCGAGCAAAGTCGGTGGTGATAGGCAACTGGAGTGCCTTCTACGTTACCCAGCCCAAATACTCAACTAAATCCAACCCGGCGCAAATGCTCATCCAATCCAATACTATATGTAATCCACATTGTCTCGACCTCCAAAGTCGGCGACGACGTTTCGTTTCCACAAGTTTCCATGGCCAGTACCCAGTAGAGTAAATAAACAACACCCGGTCAGTGTCGTCGTCGTCCTCGCAGAAAACGGCCGCCGGATCATCTTAATTACTCGCCTGCCGGTTTGTTTGTTTGTCTAATTGTCTCATCGTCGCCTTCAAATTCCTAGTTGTAGTTCATCGTCAATGACCAAATGTATATACTAGTCGTGATGACACGCGGCACACATGACCGGAGACAATCATTAGTGCCGGCAAAAATCTAACATAGGTGCCGGTTCACACGCACCGTGGTCGTCGTTCTCTCTTCTTCGCGTGTAAAAGATGAAACGTTACGTGAGCAGAAACGAGCGGCCCCTCTTTTAGAAAATCGTGGCGGTCTAGGTTTGAAACATGCATGCATAGAGACGTGATGAGCTGATGCCTGATGAATCTGAATGGGAGGCTGATAGGTGATTAGTTAGCCACTTAGCCTCCTCTTCTAGTCTAGTACTATAGTTATAGGCTCTTCTACTACTATTCTGTTAGACTGTCTCCAACAACTACGACTCAAAATGTAAGACCCATTTGTCCTTTAGGTAGTGCTACAGGCAAAGAGTTCAATATATATTTTTTATCTTCTCCAACAACAAAACCTAAAAGACAATCATTTCTGTAAATGGGTCTTCAGGAGGAAAGATACTCAGATTTGGGTTATACCTCTCCTGACATATAAAATGAATCTTCTATATAAATACTCTGTTAACGAGCTATAGATACGATGTTGGAGACCTACTTTAAATTTGGGTTCGTGGGAGACGGCCTTAGCTACCAAGATGGACCAGTTTTGGTCTCCTGTTTTGCGATGGAGTGAAGAAGCACTTGTCCACCGAGTGGCAGTATTTTTCCCTGATGGATGCGCTTGGTTTCCTCTGTTTGATGAGACGGGCGACCTGATGGCCGTCTTGTCTCAATAATGGGCTCCCAGAGTGTTGACATTGGCTATGAGTAGCTCTCGCACCGGGAGCTGTCAAGTCTTGTTTGAGATGGAACAATAATTTACGCATTATATTATTATTATTAGTACCTTGATTGTTAGTTTGTTACTAATCTTTCTCCGTCGTGGAGATAAACTATTTTGAGTATTGCTAATTATAAAAATATCAATAAACGATGACAAACAAGTGCCCATTAAATTCAACAGGGGATACATCTTCACAGTATACATGGTTCAAAATAAGATTCGGTAATTCCGGGATAGCAAAAAAAAAAACAAATTTTCATATGTTAAACTAACACATGTGCTATATAACTTTAGACTTATATTTTTTTTCCTATTGCTTATGTTGTGTATTCTTCTACTAATAGATATGTATCATAAATCATGTTAATATTTTATTTTGGTCCAAAATTTATAGAAAACTCATACTTCATGTTTAAGTCTTCGGTGAAACTTTGACTAAATTTCACGAATATCGGTAATTTTGGGGGTGCACAAAAAAGTATAATACCGAAATTAAAAACCATGGTAGTATATTACTATATTTGACTACTCGATGTCAACAAATATAAATAGCCCTTTTCTTTAATCCTAATCAAATTTTAGATAGCTTGACTAAAGACCAAACTAGAATAGTATCATTTCTAAGATGGAGATAGCGTTTGCCTAGCTAGAGTCAGCGGTTTCACTGGATCTTCTAGGACGATATATACGCTTGAACACTGCCATTGTAAAACCTCGATCCGTAAGCAGTGCGTCATGTAGCGTGCGTGCTTGTATGATGCGCCTATGCAACAGAACAAAGTCTCAAAGAATCTAAGGATATTGTAAGGTCGTTAGGTTAGTGTATTTATTAGGACACGGCAGCTATCACATTGTTTCTTATGTCAGATGGTTTATTTTTATGTTGTATCTTTTTGGTACGGCGGCAAAGGGAGTATTGTAATCTTGGCACGATGCCTATGACCCTGTTAGTTTCGCTAAAATTTAGCTTATGCTGATACTAATTTGTTGTGGGAGGAAAATATTGTTCGTTCGCTGAAAAATACTGCTGAAGTAGCGGTCGTACATTTGGTTACTTCGTCCAATCAATCATACATACATCTACTGCAATTTTGTAAGGAACATGCACGGTACTACCAGTTTAGTATTTTTTGGGAGAGGATACCACTAGTATCAGTTTAGCTGATGGGCCTAGGTCCGATCATAGATTGTATGGGCCTACATTCTATTTTATAAAAAGAAATATGGCCTACATTAGTAGCCCAAACTTGCCACAAATCGGCCCAATCAATCCACCGACCGATGTGAGCCTTGGCCGGGCCGGTTGGTGGAGCCCGGCGGACAGCGTCGTCGCCACCGGCCGTCCAGGCTGTGCCAGCCAGCCAGAGTCGGGGGGATAATTAACATTTTTACCATTATAACGGATGACACCTTCTCAATTAGTAGCTTTAAATTTGGCGCTATGTTTTTAACAGTAGAGAGAGAAAAACGATACATATTTATCACTTGTGCTCGCGTGGCACACCAGTTCCGCTGTCCAGCTCGGATCCAAGTCAGCAGCCTCATACAAAAAGCCAGTCATGCCCCTCCTCTCATTGCCATAGATTAAAGGATGGACGGCTCAGGATAGCCGCAGACAGAGATACGTAAACTTGTATTTTTAAGATATTTATTTTTTATTTTGCAAAGGAAAAAAAGAACGTATATGACAGCATCATGATGTCATGGCTCAAGAGCAAAGCACTGTGCATGGTGCACGCCCTAGACCGGCGTTCAGCATGCTGCGCCTACGCAGCGCCTACGCAGCTTCACGCGCTCTGCTCCCTGACTACCGTCCGCTGCAGGTGTCCTCCATAAAGCGCGCCGGCGGCGACCAGAGAAGCGCAGCCACGGCGGCTGGTTCCGGTTGGGCGCAGCAATGGCGATGTGAGCGCTCGAGCTTCGGCGAGAAGTGCGGCGATGGCGGCGGCGGAGGCGGTCGAGCCAGCGCACGAGCAACGCGGCATCGGAGGCGGAGGCGACGGCGAACGCGCCCGCATCGGAGCGGCCGGCGAGGAGGTCGGCGTAGACATGGTCGAAGCCCATGAGTGCCGAGGCCGCGCACCGACGGCCGAGGCACGAGGCCACGGCCGTAACGCGGTTGAGCACGTCGAGCTTCTCGACGAGCGTGAGCGCGAGGAGGCACGCGTCGTCGCCGGGCACGAGCGTGCGCATGTCGTGGGAGACGAGGCAAAGCGGGCCGAGCAGGTGCGCCACCTCGGCGTCGGAGAGGGAGTGGTAGAGGTTCGCCACGCGCGACATGGCGTTGGCCGCCTCGAAGGGCAGGCTGCCCACCCTGCTTTGGCGATGTCATCGCCATGGAGAGCACCTTGTGCACCAGCAGCTCTGCCACCATGCCTCCGGCCTCATCGTCAAGCGCTCAGCTCAAGAAATCTAGAAAGGCATAGTAAATAAATCCTTTTGCTTTTGCAGCGAAAACGATTTCGCAGACCAACGAGCCAAGAAGTGGATTTGAATTGAAACGCTTGGATTTCATGCTTGACTGGCTAGCTGCCCATGGACTGAACGAGCTCCTCCCCTTCCTCACTGTGTGGTGATGGCCGGAGGTTGAAGAAGAATATGACTTGTGGGGCCGTGTGTTAGTAATGGGGGAGGGAGAAGCCAGGTGCAAGGGCGGTCATTTCGCATGGGGCTGCTTACTCGGATCCGAGCTGGACAACGAAGCTGGCGTGCCACACGAGCACAAGTGGTAAATATGTATCGTTTTTCTCTCTGCTGCTAAAAGCGTAGCGCTAAACATAAAACTGCTATTTGAGGAGACGCCACCCATTATCTCCTATAACTAAAAAGAACAAAAGTAAGACAATTTTTTGTGTGACTTTTTTTGGGGTCGCTCCTCCCTTCCGGGCCTGCGATACCCCACGCGATAGGAAAAGAAACTGCCATCCCTGCGATCCCCGCCCATTTTGAAGGAAACAAATCGATCACCTGAGGCCATATGCATGGAAGAAAACAATAATCATGCATGGAAGGAAACAATCATGCGGTGCCCCTCTCTCGCTCGGTCAGATATCTTTCATCTCCACGTAAATCGGATCGTCGATCGACGCTAGGCCAACATCGACGCGGCCCTCTTGTCCTTCCCATGGTGCGCTCTCGCGAATCCACACCACCCCGTGAAAGACGCCGGACACCACAACGCCCCCCCGCCGCCGTACGCCAGGCACTCGTCGGCCGGACACCATGATGCCAATCCGGCCCTCAACGCCGCCGGAACGCCCCCTCCTCGTCCGACAACCATGCCGTCGACGCCGACCACCGTTAGACGACTCGTGAAGAGGCCCGCGACGATGCCACGCTAACAAAAGGCGACTGCAATTGCTTTATCAGGTGCGGTTTATGATTTTATCTTATTCTGGATGATAAATTTGTTTCCTTCAATTACCTTACTCAGCCAATGATTTCATGATAATCATGAGAAACACTACTATAAGATGATCGCTGCATATTTGAGATTATGCAAATTTTATTTAATCACGTTCCTGTGTGAACGAGGTGCTATTGGAACATGCTCATATGACTACATCCTACCTCTCCCTATCCTCACCGTTGCTATTAAGGTCTCCTCCAGCGTCGTCCTCTTCTGCGACGCCCTCTCCACCGGGGCGAGGTCCATAGGATCCAGCGGCAACAAGGTTGAGGGAGTCACTTTGTAGCGAGATCCATCAACAAGCATCCTGGTTCTGGTGTATTATTTGATTTATTTCTCGATACGCTGCTACGAGGGACTGTACTAAGCCGTGAGTTGCTGTAGATGGCTCCTGGTGTATTCTTGTTCGATCCTGCTGGACAAGAAGGCCTGAGTGACGACAACTCAGGCGACAGAATTGGTCTGCCATCGTGGAAGTTTAGGATCGACGTCGACTTGCTTGACGTAAGTGTAGCCGCCATTGCCCTTCTGTTTCAATTCTCAGACTAATGGTTGTTTGTTAGAGTTTAGCAAATTCAGTTCAGTTGTGCAATAAATTTAGTTTTTCACTATCATTAGATATTCATAATTCAAATCTGAATATAAATAGTATTAGGAGTCTATATACTTGAAACAATGTGCAATACATTTTCGTTCAGCATTGATACTCGTCAATCAAGGACTCCACAGCTGGTGGCGGTTGTGGAATAAGTGGTGGCACCAGCTCAGGTGCTCCCCGCTGAAAGCTCTAGTTTGATTTTGGTGAATTGATGAAACCCTAAGTGTTAACCTAGTTTATCAAGTGATCATGAGATAGGTAGCACATTTCAAGTGGTGAAGCAAATGAAGATCATGACATGATGATGACGATGCCACGGTGATGATCAAGTGCTTGGACTTGAAAAGAAGAAAGAGAAAAACAAAAGGCTCAAGCCAAAGGTATAAATGGTAGGAGTCATTTTATTTTGGTGACCGAGACACTTAGTGAGAGTGACCACATTTAGTATCGATAGCCGTACTATTAAGAGAGGTGAAACTCATATCGAAATGCGGTTATCAAAGTGCCACTAGATGCTCTAACTCATTCCATATGCATTTATGATCTAGTGGAGTGATAACACCCTTGAAAACATTTGTGAAAATATGCTAATACATGTGCACAAGTTGATACACTTGGTGGTTGACACATTTGAGCAAGGGTTAGAAACTTCCTTTGGCGCCCTATACGTAGAAAGAAAAGGTCAGAGGTCACTAACCTAAGTTGACCGGGCGCGTCCGGTCGGTCGCTTGAGACGCGCTGGCGTCGGTCTCTGTCGGACGAGAAGCTAGTGAGACGCTGGAGGGTTGTGTCGTCGGTCTCTAATGGCGGACACAAAGAGAGGCGTAAGTGACCGGTCTTTGGGTGAGTCCGGCCGAGCATGACCGGACGGAGGGCTTATGGATGCTTATCGAAAACGACCGGACGCCGAGGTCCAAAGGTCCTCATTGACGCACGGCCCGGTCATCACTTGACTGTTGGCGGACGCTCAAATATTTAAAGAGAGGGACGCGTGACGGCCGGACACTGGGTGAGTCGGTCCGTCGATATGACCAGAGCGTCCGATCACCCCGTGTTTTCAGTAAAAGGGCTTCTAGATGCTTATCGTGAAAACTACCGGAGCCCCAGGTCCGGCTCTAACTCACTCTCTTGGCCATTTGCATTGACATAACAACCTTGTGTGAGTTTAGCCAAAGCCCTCCCATCATCTCCATCATTGGGATCATCTTTTATGAGATTGGGAGAGAATCCAAGAGCATTGGGACACTAGAGGCACTTGGTGTTCGTGCATGACACGGGATTCGCTTGTTACTCTTGGTGGCCACCTAGACGGCTTGGAGCGAGGATCGCCAGGCCGATGGCTCGACCAGAGACCTTTCCCGATGGAGATCAGGTACTCTAGTGGATTGCTCGTGGCTTGTGTGATCTTGTTGTTGTTGTGCGGCACCCTATTGAGGGTTTGGCGTGTGATGCCAATTAAGCGCATGAACCTCCAAGGGGTGAACAACGCAAGTGAACCTCTCATTGTGTTCATATTTGATTCCGAGGTGGAGGCTTCATTATTTAAGATTCTTGTGATTGATTGGTTCACTACTGGCACGGCGGTATAACTATCTCTTTTGGCCAGTTTGCATTGACATAACAAGTTTGTGAGTTGAGCTAAAGCCCTCCCACTCATCTCCATCATAGATTCATCATGTGTTTGTGAGATTGGGAGAGAATGCAAGAGCATTGCTTGAGTGTTTGCATCTAGAGGCACTTGGTGTTCGTGTTTATTTGTGGGATTAGCTTATTACTCTTCTTGGTGGTTGCCGCTACCTAGATGGCTTGGAGCAGCAATGAGGATCACCTAGTTTAGATAGTGTCAATTCACACAAGAGCAATGGAGGGTGGTGATTGTCTCCGGCTACACGATCGTTTGGTAGAAATTGTCAAGAGGGGTTCTTGACCTTCTTAAGATGAATAACAATGATGGAATCAAATGAGCCAAAAAGGTACTCTAGTGAATTGCTCATAGCTTGTGTGATCCTCATCTTGTGTTGGTTGTGCGGCACCCTATTGACTAGAGTACCTTTTGCCCGCCGAAAGGTCAAGATGCCAATTAGATCGGAGCGTGAACAATCTCTAAGTGAGTGAGGTCGCAACCACCAAGAGTAACAAGAGAGAAGTAGCTTGCCTCTAGAGCAAAGCAAGTGAACCTCTCACTAGGATGATGAATCAATGAAAATCATTGTGTTCATCATTTGATATCCTTGAGGTGATTGGCCCCATCATTGATATTGATTCTTGTGATTGACCGGGTTCACTCGACCGACGTCAGCTCTCGGCGTCCGATCGCTCGATGTCACCCACGTGTCACTCAACGGTCATCAATCTCGACCGGACGCTTTGCTCCTTGACATAACCGGACGCTGAAGCCCCTGCGTCCGGTCGTTCTGATAAGCTCCGGGCATGGCCGGACGCGTCGTAAACCGGAAGAACTAGTTGAAGCCCAGTCCGTCCGGTCGTTCGTAAAGCTCCCCGAGGCATGTTTTCGACCGGACGCGTCGTCCGGTCCACTTGATAGCGTAGGTGTGAGCTCAACCCTAGCTTGTTAGTTTGATTATCACAGGTGAAGATCATTTCGATCAACTCCATTTCAAGTTAGTCTTTAAGAATTTTGCATCAATAGAAAATGGACACTTAGCGTTGAATGTAGTGGGAGAGAGGGACCCAAATCCATCTCAACCCCTGCAAACACCTTGTGCACATGTGTTAGCATATTTTCACAAATATTATCAAGGGTGTTAGCACTCCACTAGATCCTAAATGCATATGCAATGAGTTAGAGCATCTAGTTGCACTTTGATAATCGTATTCCGATACGAGTTTCACCCCTCTTAATAGTACGGCTATCAAACCTAAATGTGATCACACTCTCTAAGTGTCTTGATCACCAAAACAAAATAGCTCCTATGGTTTATACCTTTGCCTTGAGCTTTTTGTTTTTTTTTCTTTCTTCTCTTCAAGTGTAAGCCCTTGATCATCTCCATGCTATCACCATTGTCATGTTATGATCTTCATTTGCTTCTCTACTTGAAGTGTGCTACCTATCTCATGATCACTTGATAAACTAGGTTAGCACTTAGGATTTCATCAATTCACCAAAACCAAACTAGAGCTTTCAGCTATTCACCCCCTTCCAGCCATTAGGACCTTTCACCCGTGGATGCTAGGGTGAGCTAGATGGGCTGGAGAATCTGTATGTCAAGATGTCCATGCGTAGGGTCTCCGGCAGCAAACTGTTTTATATTATTATTGAATTGCATAAACTGTTTTTTGCCAAGAAAATGAAGTTAAGACAATTAGTTGATTGGGATTATCATTTACTCTTTTTTTCAAATAGTGGTCTTTATTCCAGAGCCCTTCATGTAGTTTAATAATGGCTGGGGAGCTAGGCTTGCGAGAGCTTACTCTTAATTGGGTTGCAAGCTAGGGATGTAGCACTTCAATGGGTGTCTAGGTTGAGTTCCACAATTGCCAAAAATTGATGGTGCTGATAAGATTGACAATTCTGTAACTCTGCAGTACATTTCTTTTTTTTCAAAAAAAGGAGGGCAAATGCTACTTATGGTTGAATCCATATTCTTTTTGTTGTTTTGATTTGATGTCCACATCCCACATGTTAACTTTCAGATGTCTTTGTAAAGAATCAAAAGAGTTGGCCTAATGCCAATCTTTCTTGTCGTCTTTTTCATTCTTTATATTTATATAAATTCTCACCAACAAGTACATGGCTAGATAATGGCCGTAATGCTGCATCCTTTAACCAGTGTGTCCCCTTGAGATCTACTGACTGCTAGCTTATGCATATTGTCTTTTATTTGTAGGGTAGAGAGCTGTACAGGAAACATTCAACATTTATTTCCAAGCTATATCAGAGACTTTAATTCATGTCTTTTATTTGCATAGAAGAAAACTCATCCGAGGATTAGATTGTTGGCCTGATAGAAATATTCAAAACACGATATGAATTTTTAAACAATGTCTCTGATATAGCTTCTTTCTATGACAGTGGAGTGATGTATCATGTTTACCTTTCCCTTTCTGTTTTTTATAACCTGTTTGCCATTTAGGATTTAATCACCAGGTCTACTTTCCACTTTTCAGGCAGTGAAGCAATGTTTGCTGACATTGGTCATTTTACGAGTGCATCCATCGGATGTATAGTTAGATCCACAAGATATTTGGAACAAGATATGTCCATGCTAATATCTTTTACTACTTTATAGAAAGAGATTTTATTATAATTGTAATAATATTAACCATGGTCCATGGAGATGGATGAGCCTGCATTTTAGTAAGACCATATCAGCTAACTGAACTTAAGCGGTTATGGACTGTTAAATGGGCACAATAAAAATTTTCAATTTGCTTGCTAGCTGTACAAATGAACAAGTAACATTAATTCATTTTCTTTATTTTGCCACAGCTCAACCAAATTTACGTGCTATCAGATTTCATAAGCATAGTAGAATGCGTGTGTGTTGAGTATGATAGACTTCACTAATCTGGATTTGAATATATAATTATAGCATTGACAGTTCTAAATCACAAAGAGATGTACTTGAGACCCATAACAGGTACAATCTTCAACATGTGTATTTTATCTCTTTATCATACATATATTCTTCCTATCTGAATGACTGAGCGAAGTTCCTGTTAGGTGAAGAATCTGGTTGTGTTAGTCCTATCGAATCTGAAGAAGTTTCTAAGAATCCTAGCATGGAAGAGGCTATAACTGAGGAAGGAAATCCATGTCTCACTACATAGCAAGAAGTGCAGGGCCGCCGTCGCTACCGGCGCGGTCCTAACCCGTGTGCGAGGCTAGGGTGTCAACGCTGCGGCAGCCCGTAGCTAGGCGAGGTGTGGCCTACGGAGGGGGCGGAGAAGGCGACATGCGGCGCGCATGGTTGAGGCGCTGGTGGCCGGCAGCCCTAGTTGATGTGCCATGGAGGTGACCGAGATGGCGACACCGTGCGGCGGAGCTGACCCGCAACGCAATGACCTGAGGCAATATGAACGCCAACAACCTCCATGTCGTGCGTAAAAGGTCTATATAGTTTGTGAGTCTGCGACGCAGTGCTGTGCGTGACTGTTAATTTCATGAACTTTGTTTTTTAGATTAACGTGCGTATTTAATTTGATAGTATTGTTATTTTATCATGTGATCCGTATATTTTTAGGCCCTGTTTAGTTCCCTCCATTTTCCAGAATCCAGATTTCCAAATTTTTTACAATCCCAAATCCAGAATCCAAGAATTCCCATGCACCTGTTTAGTTGCACCCAAAATCCAAGAAATCCCAAATCACATATCGCCTCATCCCACGGTGGCGCCGATGTCGAGAATGCCGTCGCCGCCGTAGTGGAAAGAATACGTCATTCTTTGCACCGGCATCCATGCGGGCGGTCGGAGCAAGATCCCGTTAGGCGGTGGAAGCAGCAAGATCCCGCCGAGGTGGTGGAGAAGGAGCGTCATTTGTGGAAGAATACGTCATTCTTTGTGCCCGTCCATGCAGGCGAGCGGTTTGACAAAGATCCCGCTGAGGCGGTGGAGCAGCAGACAAGATCCGCCGAGGTGGTGGAGAAGGGAAGGGACGAACGGTGGAGTGGCAAAGCGGCCAGGCAGTGTGTCGGGGATCGGGCCCCGATTCGCTCCCGCCCGTCCGCCGCCGCTACCAAATCGAAGCGAGAGAGCACGGACGAGGACGAGCCGGGCTAACGCTGGTTGGTGCTCACTTTGGATGGATGGCCGCGACGGGCAGCCAGGGACGGCCTCGCCGGAGGCTAATTGGCGGAGGGAGGAAGGACCCGACGCGTTTTGGGGCCGAGCTACAGTAGGGTTTGGGCAGTAGCGAGTGGGAGAGCGGCGCGCGGCTCCCCGATCGGGCGTTAGGTAGGGTTCGGGAGCAAAGGCGGTCTTGAGCAGCGGCGATTAGAGGGGTGAGGGCGAGGAGAACCGTGCACCGTGCCCAAGTTGGGCTTATTTTGGCCTCTGGACTCCAGAATCCAGAATTCAGAATGGGTATGTGTTTCCAAAAAATTCTGAGTGGTGTTTAGACCCATTTTCCAGAATGTTGGGCCAAAATCCACAATATTTTGGGTTTGATGAGGAACTAAACAGAGCCTTAGTATAATAGTTTAGTTATTCCGTACTAATGGTAAAAAAGTTAATTATCGCAGACTCGGGCAGGTAGCAGGTTCCGCCGCCTCGTCTCGTCTCTTCCCTTTCCCGTTTCCCCGTTCAGTTCAGCTTCGGTTGGCTCGCCGTACTCGGGTTATTCCTCGCCTCGCCTCGCTTCCTTCCTCCGCAATCCTCGTCTCGAATTCGCTCGCGGTGGGAGAAATCGGGGCGCGAGGATGACCGTGATCGACATCCTCACCCGGGTGGACGCGATCTGCCAGAAGTACGACAAGTACGACGTCGACAAGCTCAACGGTGCCAACGTCGCCGGCGACGACCCCTTCGCCCGCCTCTACGCGTCCGTCGACTCGGACATCAACCAATGCGTCGAGGTGAGATCCCGTCCTCCTTCCTCCTCCTCCTCCTCCTCCTCTCTCTCTCAGCGTCCGCGACCCGGAGCACTCGATCTGAATCTGATGATGGTCTGTTTGGCGTTTGGAACAGAAAGCGGAAACGGCAAAGCAAGAGAAGAACCGGGCCGCGGTGGTGGCGCTTAACGCTGAGATCCGACGCACCAAGGCTAAGCTCCTCGAGGAGGACCTGCCCAAGCTGCAGCGCCTCGCCGTGAAGAAGGTTGCTGCCCTAGTACCCGCATTGCCTCCACTGAGTTTTGGGTGAAGTGTGTTAGATCTGCGAACTCGCTGACTTGAGGGCTTGTTTTCGCTTTTGCCAGTAACTAAACTTGCTTGGACTAGAGCTGGCTAAAATTAGGTTGTGCGGCCGAAGGTCTTAGGGAGTCTCGACTCTCGACGTTTGAAATGATTCACCTGGCCATTTCGTGAATTTTAAGATTGTTGGTGACTTGGTGCTGGTATGTGTGGCAGAATTTGTGGGGAAAACCTCTGGTCTGGATTAGTAGTTTGTGACTTGTGTGGATTGGGAGGAGCCATGTAGGTGAATTTCATAGGATTGCTTGCATGATGGCTGCGTGCTGAATGGGCATGCTTGAGTGAAATTTTTAATGGCTCGTGTTTTGCCATGTTGATTGGAATCTAGACGTAAGCTAATTGGTTGATTGTCGCCTTCATCTTGTTCCTTGGTCGGCAGTTTAGGCACTAACCTTAGACAATCCTAGAATGAGGTTCATCGGCTTCCTGGTTTTACTTGATCTTCTCTCTACTTATGTGCAACTTTCTTACATGAATTTAAGCAATATGAGGTCTCCCTCCATGTTACGTTTCTTGCTTTTATTCAAATGCATAATTGTTTGTTTGACACAGTTGGAATGCTGATTGTTGATGTTGCCTCTTTTCTGATGTTATGGAACTTCATGTATGCCTGTTATTCTCGGCATCCATCTTGTTTTTGACCTTCAATTTGTGGCCCAACTTTTTTTCCCTTAGTCTTGATTGCTTTGCTTCTCACCTGCACATTTGAGTTTAGACAAACTGGCATACTTAATGACGCTTCTCTCTTTGTAATGATACAAAGTTTTGTGTGAGTGCTGAGCAGGCAATCACTTGCTTGGTTTTACTTGTTTTTAATGTGCTGCTTACAGTTTAATTTAGCTTACCTTTTATATGGTTATATTTGATGGCATGCAAACATTTAGGTATACCAAGTTATAAAAGTTATTTTAAGTAGTATCTCTGAAGACTCCTTTGAACAGGTGAAAGGGCTCACCAGAGAAGAAATTGCGACCCGTAGTGATCTGGTTGCCGCCTTACCTGACAGAATACAATCAATCCCAGATGGTAGTTCTACTGCCACAAAGAAAAATGGAACTTGGGGAGCCTCAGGATCTCGCACTGGAGGAGCCATAAAGTTTGACTCTACTGCTGGTTAGTGAGCAACTAGATTTATTGTCCACCTTTGTTCTTAGTAGGAAAGATTTGGTATAGTTCCTTTTGATGAAATCCATGATCCATTGTTTATGCCCAATTCGAAAATATAATCATCTAGATTCATAAATCAGGCTAAAGTACATAACTTTGTTGCTTTCTAGTTATTGGAAAACCATCTAATCAAGCTGAACCTCATTTGTAGTCTTTCATGAGACTTAAGATCCTTCTAGATTTGACTTTCATCTCCATTTGAATAACTGGCTGATGTCCTTTCCCCTTGTAACTCCACATAATACACAGATGGGAACTTTGATGATGAGTACTTTAAGGGGACAGAAGAATCTAATCAGTTCCGTCAGGAATATGAGATGCGCAGAATGAAACAGGTAAATTCACTCAGCCACTTTCCTTCTTTCTGTTTCATATTGTCTTGCTACTAGATGCAGTTCCTCTCAATTTGTCATGTGGTGTAACCAGTCTTTGACAATAAAATTGTGCAGGATGAAGGTTTGGACGTTATTGGTGAAGGACTGGAGACTTTGAAAAATATGGCATCTGATATGAACGAGGTTGATTGCTGCACTTTTTTTTTTGGGTTCTATGGTAATTATAGTAAATTATGGACAATTAACTGAATAGCTGCGATCATCAGGAATTGGACAGACAAGTCCCTCTGATGGACGAAATGGATGACAAGGTCTGTTATCTGGCAGCCATTAGTTTCTGTAGGCTCCATCTAGAAACTGTCTAGCAACTCTCATTTTACTATATAATGATGATTGTAGGTGGATAGAGCCAATGCAGATTTGAAGAATACCAACGTGAGACTGAAGGAGACTGTTCTTCAGGTAAGACCTAGCACTTCCATTCTATACTAGCTAACTAATGCTTGGAAGATTGGTGACCTCATACCACTTGTTTTTCACATTGACCTGTTATCAGCTTAGATCAAGTCGCAACTTTTGCATCGACATCATCCTTCTCTGTGTCATTCTTGGTATTGCGGCCTACCTTTACAAGTAAGTAATATTCATTCCCAGCAAAATCCGGTTGCATTTCGAAAAGGACAGCTAGGGTTGGGTATGACTATTATTATGACCATGCTGAGATTTTCTTCAGTTTGTGTTTGTTGCTGTACAAGAGTTCCTTCGTTTGAGTTTGTTTGTTATTGTAACAGCTGGTGCTTGATATATATGTACCGCTCATGATATTGCTTTCTGTTTTTGTGTTGCAGTGTTCTAAAAAAGTGAGGCGGAATCCTGCCTTGGAACTGCTCATGTCGTGGTCCGTTTGTCACCATGGTTCTACCAAGTTCTTTGAGCGATTTGTGTTGTCTTATATCTGTATTATTATGGTGTCCAAGTTGAACCTTGACTAGGCTTGTTGAAGAGAACACTGGTAACAGGTCTGCTGTATATCTGGGAGTAAATTTCGTAGCGAGGAAAAGAGTACACGGCATCATTATTATCGTCTTATTGAACCATGTAAGCGTGCTCATGTATATTCATTCCGTCAGGGCTTCGTCTCCATTGTTTCTGTCGAATCAGTCTTGGTACCAAGAGCAGGCAGCGCTAATGAGCAATCAGCGATGTGCTCGCTTCATTTGCCTGTCTCCCAACGAATGTGCTCGCATCTACGGAGTACGTATCAGGAAAGATGTATGGCCCGCAAGTAGGCAATCTATTTTTGTGAACCGGCCAATTCATTTTAAGGAGAATTATATCGACTTGCAAGAAGCAAGACGGTCCAAGTAAATACCAGCAGAATTCTGCGCGATTCCTAAAAAAATTGAGTATTTTTTCCACCGTCTAAAATAAGGCCCTCGTGCGTTTCCTCAAAAAATAACAATCCAAATAGGGTCTGTCTACTACACAATCATGTATTTTATATAGTTTCAACACATGAATTTTTTTGCACCATAGGATTAAAATCCAAGATCCAACTTCTACCTCACTCTTCTTATACATCCAGATCATAATTTTTTTTATATATAGATCACAGATTCGCCATATGCCACCACCACCATGCGCCATGGCGGGCACGGGCGCCGGGGCGAGCTTGCCGGTCGTCGTCACCGGCGCCGGTGGTCACTGGTGAGAAAGAGAGAGGAAGAGAGATAAAAAAAATTCATATATTTTTTTTTTACTAAAATACATATAGGAAGTACAGTTGGCTTTGGTACTTCTTCGGTTTCGACAGCGGTTGGGCGGTTGGGTCGTCGTCCCCTCTACTCTCTCGGTCTCTCACCCCACCTCTCCTCTCCAGTCTCAACTCCAAACCTCGGGCTCCGGGCCGTCTCCCGCCAACACCAATTTCGCTTCCCGCCGCTCCCCACCTCATTAAACCCGCCCGAAAGGCCGCGCCCTCGAGCAGTTGGCGACCCGCGACTCGCGACCCCCTGGCCAGAAATCCGATCCCCAGCCACCGCGGCTCGCTCTCGTCTTTTCCCCTCTGCTCGAGCACGCGCGGCTACTCCCGCTCCCGGCGGCGGTGGCGATGAGCGCGGTGAACATCACCAACGTGGCGGTGCTGGACAACCCCACCGCCTTCCTCAACCCCTTCCAGTTCGAGATCTCCTACGAGTGCCTCGTGCCCCTCGACGACGGTACGGATCGCCTCCCCTACTTTTTTCTCGGCCCCCGTGATGCGTGGCGGCGGGCTAGGGTTTCGTGCGTCGTGAGATCGGTGGGTGTCGCTCTGGATGCAGCGGGGATACCGGTTTATGGGGTTGGGTTTTGCTATATCTGCAGCATGAGGTCAGGAGGGTATGGGAGTCGAGCGCCGCTGCATCGGTTGCATTCCTGTGCGGCGGTTTTAGCATAGATGCGAATGCCATTGCAGTCGAGGCTGAACTGTCAGTACTCCTATTCTAGAGCTCACCTTGCTTGTATGCTCGTGACGGTTAACTTCTCTTAATCATACTGGCCTTTATGTAACAATTATCATAAGAATGCAGCGTAATTTCCACTATGCTATTCTGTACCATATGATGCTTGATCATATATTCTATCCTCCATTACTACTTTACTAGTATCTTGAAACCAGTATCTCATATGACTGAACCTATTTGCTTAGCGGGTCATTGAGTTGTATACTTGTATTGTCAAAATCTGGGTGCCACATTAGAGACAGTTTTGCAAAAAATTCCATGCACACCCGTGCCACGCGTGGATCATTGCCTACAATCTAGCATTAGCTGTGCTTGAAGCTGATTATAATTGAATGTGCAGTGGATAAATCTCATATTATTTGTATCCGGTACCTAGAAGGGATTAACACTTGTTAGCTTTAGCTGATGATAGAAATGTATACTTGTGTTATCGAACTTAACACAAGTGGAGTTTCCTTTGAGGTTGTTGTTTTAAATCTTCTATAGTTCTATTGCTGGTAACTCCGGAAAAATGTTCTGTTTTGCTTTTAGTGATTTATTCACTGCACTCTGCAGTGGTTAATCTGCTGGCCTCTTTCATAAGCTACATGACTCCTGGGGATCCTGCTAGCTTCAAAAGCTGTTTGAGTGGGGTGGGCCATTATCTGAATAATTCTGGTCCAGACATGTTTGCTTTACTTTCTCCCCTCTTTTGGCTCTGGTTTGTTGATAAGTAGTACTACATAGAAATTGTCAGATACAACCCAATCAACATTGACTAGGCTATAATTTATGGATTATGCATGGATATTGTCTTGTTTGAGGTAGTTTTAATTGTAGCGCCATGTGTATTTTTCCCTGCATACTATAAAGACGTATTGAGCTCTACATTATCTGTATGAGGCAGATATGCAATTCATATGTTTTGATTTCTCTGTCTTTGCTTTTGGATATTGGATTTAAAATACATGTAAAGAACTTTTGTTTGCATTTCAGATCTGGAGTGGAAGCTTATATATGTTGGATCAGCTGAAGATGAAAACTATGACCAGCAGCTTGAGAGCGTGCTTGTTGGCCCTGTCAATGTTGGGACCTACCGTTTCGTTCTCCAGGTATTCAAATCGATGTTGTGTTGCTCTATTCTACTTACTCCAAACTCCAAACATTCATGGGACATAATAGGTCCTGATTTTTTTAAGAATAAAGTGTGAGCACTGCTTGTGATTTCCCCTTTTGTGTTAAGCCCTGTTATATCTACCCAATTTTGGAAAATGATATGGCAACAATTGCAGGCTGACCCACCGGATCCCTCAAAGATCCGTGAGGAAGACATAATTGGTGTGACTGTGCTGCTATTGACATGCTCTTACATGGGCCAGGAGTTCATGAGAGTAGGCTACTATGTGAACAATGATTATGGTGATGAGCAATTGAGAGAAGAGCCTCCAGCAAAGGTGCTAATTGACCGGGTGCAGAGAAATATCTTGGCCGACAAGCCCCGAGTCACCAAGTTCCCTATCAACTTCCATCCTGAACCCAGTACAGGCACGGGGCAGCAGCAGCAGGAACCCCAGACGGCCTCGCCAGAAAACCACACAGGCAATGGCGAGGGCAATGGAAGCAAGCCTGAGGCTGACCAATGAACACAGTTGGCCTCAAATATTTTGATGCGTGCGCCTTACTGGTTGTGCTGTAATATTACAAACGGGATTAGTGGTTATGCATTGCCCTGGGATCCTGGTTCTAGCACATGGTGGTTGTTTAGAACTCTGTTCTGTACCTTGAGATGCAAATGCTAGGAACCTGGATGTTTCCTTAGTACAAGAGTATTTCAGCCTGTTCTCCTGCAATTGCTGTATGCAGTATGCTTTAGAGTTTAGAGTAGTGTTTTACCTCAAACTACTCACTGGCTAGTCTTGGTCACCTGCTTTGGCCTTTGCGGTATAGGTTCTAACTGGAATCCTTTTGTTCACTTAAGCAAGTGGTGAAATGAAATGACTTGTGATTGCAAGCATATGCTATGCTAGTGCGCTTTGTTTGGCCGCTGTTTTCATGTATCGATTATGGATGCAATGAATGATTCTTTAAAGGCATTAAGCTTGCCTATGCCTGCTGCTTTCAACAACTGTCCAGGGCTTGATTGCAATTGAATTTGCTGCCAATTGGATGCATGCTCCAGTTACCAGCGTACATTTGGATGCATGCTCCAGTGACCAGCGCACATTTGATCTCAGTTTTGTGGACGGCACTAAACCTCTGCATGTCCAATCGGGCAGCATGCCAAGCTTACGCTGCTGCTGCTTCAGATCAAGGGAAATGTGAGCAAATGCAGCGAAAGCATGTGCTCCAAGAACAGCAAACATGAGGAAATTGAGCAAAAACAGCAGATTAACTGAAACCTTTTCTGAAGCTTTTTGAGAGACAACTTTGCACGATGATTCACTACTGTACCAGGATGTGTACGTCAAATTTTCTAGATCTTTTTGTGCCTGCAGTTTGCAACAACTGAAGAACCCCTTGTCATGGTCATTTCATTTGTCATCTTTTCACCTCTCTTTTTTTGAAGTAAACTTTTCACCTTCCTCTCTGTTGGATATATTATGGGTTGGTCCATATAATATTTCATAAATCAAATAAACTCTATGGCCTGTAATAATGCGTGATATATGGTTTAATACCGTACAAGATTTTGACAAGACGTTGACTCGGTTTATATGGTTGGACATTGTATATCTATATTGAGAAGCTGAGAAAAGGACGTGGGTGTGCCACGCGCGCGAGCCGCTGCCGGCCGGGCGTGGGCGTGGGCGGACGGGATGGGAGTGGTTTTGCCGCTCAATCCACATAATTACGGGAGTTACTCTTTTATGTTAGAGTCGGCTTCATTGCGGGAGTTTTTCGTCTGTTACCGCCGTTCTCTTTTATGTTAGAGTCGGCTTCATTGCGGGAGTTTTTCGCCTGTTACCGCCGTCTCCATCCTTCTGCGTCCGCACGCCTTCTCCGTCTCCTGATCTCCTCCTGAGCCTCTTCGCTTCTCCACCGCGAGCATATATTCCGAGCTCCTCCGTCAGTCATTCCTCTTGGCTTCCACCACATATTTAGCTGCTCTTTGGTTCTCCCTGTCCCGGTTCCTGCGTGCACTGGAACTGGGAGAGTAGGGCCTCTGGAACGCCTGTTGTCTTCATGTTCACCTGCTCGGGTGAAGGGCGGCTATCACGTTTTTGGGGAGTGTTGCTGGCGGCACGACTACTCGCTACGTCTACGTCCTCTTCTTTCCGGTGTCGGCGCACGTTGAAGGTCCTCCGCTGATCGGCACTGCTTCCCATCTGCACTGCAACGAGCGGGACGACTACACCGATAGGCACTATGTCGTCGAGTGCATCCGGCTCTACCACTGGGTATGTTTCTGGAACGAATCGTCTAAGGTCTTGGCTATCAATCCTTAGTTTGAGTATCATCTACATGCTCGTCACGTTTAAGACATACAAGCACATATATGATGTCACCAACTTGATCATTTGGTTTAATGTCTTTTTCTGGATTAAATTGCTGCTAAAATTGCCTAATATTCTAACAATCCAAAAACATAATAGACAATTTTCGGTAGTTGGCTTTGCGAGTATGCTAAAACCGAATGTCTTTGAGGGCACTCATTACAAGAGGTGGGGGCAGAGGTGCATTCTGTGGTTGACTTCTATGCACTGCTATTTTGTTGCTGAACCTAGAGCTGTTGGGCCGCATACTCCTGATGAGGAGCGTGCGTTCAAACATGCTGACAATATGTTTAAGGCAGCAATTCTGAGCATGTTAGGAGACTTCATAGTTGATGCATATGTGCCGCTACAGTCTGGTAAAGAGACGTGGGATGCACTTGAGGCCAAATATGGGGTTTCTGATGCTAGTAGTGAGTTGTATGTCATGGAGTAGTTTCATGACTATATGATGGTTGATGATCGTTCTGTAGTAGAACAAGCTCATGAGATACAAACACTAGCAAAAGAGCTCAAAATTTTTGGTTGTGTTGCCTGGTAAGTTCGTGACAGGCAATATCATTACTAAGCTACCACAGGTTTGGACAGATTTGGCTACTTATCTAAAACATAAGAGACAAGAGTTTAGCATTGCCGAGCTCATTGGCTCTTTGGATGTTGAAGAGAAGGCAAGAGCAAAGGACGTCCGTGACAAGAAAACCGTTGAGGGAGGTTCTAGTGCCCATGTGGTGCAGAAAAATCCTCAACACTCCCATGAGAAGAAATTTCAGCAAGAACTCAAACAAAAGAATACTACACCTTTTAAGAAGAAGAAGAAGGAAAATGAGAATTGTTTCACTTGTGGCAAGCCTAGGCATTATGCTAAGGATTGCTCGGATAGCAAGTGGAAGCCCAAGAAGAAATCTGCAAACATGGTTGAGGCTGATGGAGAAACATCGGGGTATGGTAATTTTTTACATATAGTTCTTTCAGATTTTCATTCACCTGATTGGTGGGTTGATACAGGAGCCAATATTCATGTGTGTGCTGATATTTCTTTGTTTTTTTCTTATAAGGTCGGGCGGACTTCCTCCTTGTTGATGGGGAACAGGGCCCGTGCGGCTGTACGTGGTGTTGGTACGGTCGATCTGAAACTTACTTCGAGAAAGACCATGTATCTAAAGAACGTGCAACATGTCCCCTCAATAAGAAAGAATTTGATTAGTGGTTCTCTGTTATGTCGTGATGATTATAAACTTGTGTTTGAGTCAGATAAGTGCCGCCGCACCGATGGCCCTGCTCCCCGCGACCATGGTGGCGGCGCCCTTCCGCATCCCCTCCAAATGGCGGCCGCTGCGCCCTTCCCCATCCCGACGGCCTTGCGTGCGTGGGTGTCGGTGACGGGCAGCCACCCTCGGGCTCTAGATCCGTGCAGGGCGGACACGGCGATGGCGGATTCCCTCGGCTGCGTCCGCGTCATGGGAGGCGCACCTTCCCCTAGAGATGGATTTGTGCAGGGCGGACACGGCCGTGGCAGATTCGTTCGGTTGTGTCTGCGTCGTGGGCGCCGCACCTTCCCCTAGAGATGAGCACGTGCGTAGTTGCCGGTGGCTCGACCAGAAGCTCCAACCGATCAAGGTCATCGAGCGCCGCAAGGGCTCCACTTCCTCTTCCCCACCGACTAAGAGTACTACGTCCACTACACCAGCGCGTGGTGCTGGATTCGCATCCACAACGGGCAAGCGGTGCGAGCCCTCGCTGAGCGTCGAGTGAGCAAGATGTGCTTGGCAGCGGTGTGCGGCCCTGTGCGGGTGAGGTGAGTGTCGGTGCGAAAAGTGACCAACTTGTAAATATTTGTCGTTTTGCCGTACGTTGTGATCGGATGTGGCCTAGCTCTCAATGACACAGGGTTTATACTGGTTCAGGCAACATGCCCTACGTCCAGTTTGAGTCGGTCGATGACTTTATTCCGGAGCCCAGGTGCTCGAAGTTTGCTGTGGGGTTACAAACGAGAGGGAGTAAGATGGGGGTATCAGAGGTCCGGTCGGACTTCGGACCGAAGGGCCGAGAGTGATGGAAGCTCCAACATGCGCTAAGTGTTCGAACGTCTGTTGTTCATTGGGATCCTTGGTTGTTCGAGTCGTCCTAGTTTTGGAGAGAGCGCATCCCCTTTTATAGATGAAGGGGGTGGCTTTACAAGAGAGAGAGAGAGTGAGAAAGTGTGTGTGTGCTACCTAATCTTGTTGCCCACGCCATCGGGTACAAGGTTGTTTGTCGGCGCCCACAACACTATTGATGTCCAGATGCATGTGGTAGGCTCCATCGTGATCTTTTGGTATGGCTAATGTCGGCGCCTACCATACTGTAGGATAAGTGTCGGCGCCCACAACACTGTTGGTGTTCTGACATGTCTAGAAGGTTATAAAGTACCCTTCTGACATGACTTGACAGTACAGTCTTGCAGGTGTGCTGGGTACGGTCCTTGGTATTACGGTTGACTGGAGCGCCCTGCCTTACTTGCTCTGTCTGTTTCCTGGGTCTTCACCGAGTGGGCGTCCCCGGTCGGTTGTTCCCCAGTCGGCTCCGGCCTCCCGGTCGGATAAGAGTTGTAAGCAGAGGTTCGGTGTTTTCTCGGTCACCATAGCGATGTCGGCGGGCGACGCTGTCACAGAGGTACTAGGGTCGGAGCCCCCGAGCGCCGGCTTGGCTTCGAGGTGTGTCTGGATCGGACCTTCTAGAATGCGGGCAGACGATTCATTAAGGTCGTTGATGAAGACCCCGTCCGGAGATGGAACCTGCCTGGCAGCCAATTTTGCGAGAAAATTGGCGGCATCATTGTCCTTTCGGGGGACATGGTGTAGCTCGATCCCCTAGAATTTGTCCTCGAGCTTGCGCACCTCCTAGCAGTATGCTGTCATGAGGGGGGTTTTGCAAGAGGACTCCTTCATGACCTGGTCGATGACCAGCTCTGAGTCACCGTGGACGTACAGCCATGTAGCGCCGAGCCCGATGGCGATACAAAGTCCGTTGATGAGGGCCTCGTATTCCACAGTGTTGTTTGAGGCAGAAAAGTGGAGGCGGATTGCATAGCGGAGCCTACTCCCATCTTGGGAGATCAGAATCACTCCAGCCCCGAGCTGGGTGGCATTACGAACCTGTCGAAGTACATCGTC